CCCCACTTCCCGTGGGCAGGCCGGGGTTCAGCCATCACCAGGAAAGCAGGGCTCCAGCACACCGAATGGTGACCGGGGAAGGTAATGCCATCACTCCGAACAGCCCCTCCTTCTTCCTCCTACTCCCCAGCTTTACCTGCTGAGCAGCTGTTGTTTGGGATGGAACATCCCTTTGGGCAGTGGGGATCTGTGTCCCCGCCCACCTCCTCGTGCACCCCCAGCCCCCTCACGGGTGGGTGGGGTGAGGAGCAGAGAAGGCCTGGACTCGGTGCACGCACTGCTCAGCAACAGCTAAACCGCCCCTGTGTCACCCCCACTGCTTTCAGCACAAATCCAGCACACAGCCGTGGGCTGGCTGCTGCAAGGAGAGTTAACCCTGCCTCGGCCAAGCCAGCCCCAGGAGGAAGCATCCTTGTGTGTTCACTTGCCACAGTCTGTGCGTCTTAGACAGGACACTTGGCTTTTTGGTGTCCGTGTGTTTTAGTCTGTGAAATGAGAAAGTTTTATTTCATAGATTTAGAACTTGATTCCCTCTGGGTTCTGTCCCAGAGCTGTCTGCTGTATTTACCAGGGCTTTGCCTTGCAGGCTGCGTGTGGGGCACACTCGCCCACAGCTCTGGTTTAACAAGCTGTGCCGAAATGAAATCCTGTGTGGTTTCTGAGTAATGCCGTTTGCCACAGCAGAGGTCTTGGCCTGCGTACCACAGCGTGGACCTTCCCAACCTGTGTAACCTCCGTCGGGAAAGACACAGCTACTGCAGTTGACCTCTTGTGAAAAGTGGGTCCGTCTGCGTGTCCGTTCTGTGGCCTGAACAGAAGGTACAACAGAGTGGGCTCTGTTTGCGGACGTGGGAACTCTCCCTTGCCCTGACTCATGCGGAGCAGCAGGGAAGGGGGGGGAAAACAGGCTCCAAAGACCCGCTATCCGGTTTTGTCATGTAAAAAGCCTTTTTGATCTGCACTTTGTGCAGTTGCTATTCCAGAAAGCATTCAGGAGTTTGTAACCTCGGTACTGGGGAAAGATAGGGCTCGCTGTCCTTGGGCAGCAGCGCTGGGGTGCCCAGGCAGCGTTTGTGCCCTGCTGCAGGGCTCACGGTGCCCGTCACGCTGCTTCTGAGTCAGTGTGCTACCAGGTGAGGGAAATCCTCAGTCGTTCGTTCCTTTGTGTTAAAACACATTCTCAGCTTCATTCCCGACTGGGCTGGGAACAGCCTGGCAGCAGACCCATCGCTAGGGACAGTGTGGTGAAGTCGCGGCTGGCGGGGAGGCCGAGATCTTTCTGTGTAGAATAGCCAAGAGACAGTTTTTTTTCCCATTATGATCAACCATTATTTTGCAAGTATGTTTTCTGACGTGTCTTGCAGAATTTCGTGGTAGATTTTCAAAGCTGGATGAAAAATTCCATTCCCCCATTTTGGTCAGTCAGTTTTTAGGATGCATAAGGGAAGTATCGTCGCCAAGTTTTCCTCCAAAGCCGGAGTCATGCGGAGTGGGACAAACCCCAAGAAGCTTTAGGAGGTAATGGGGAATGGCAAACTATGTTTGTTGCACCTGGCACTCACTGAAAACCTGCTTTGGAGGGGCCAAACCACTCACTTCCTCCAGCAGATAAGGAGGAAGCTTTCTCTGCCGGCGCCGGAGCTGGAGCTCTGCGCCGGTGAATGAGGCAGCATGAACGGGAGCGTTTGGGGGGACTGCAGCTAGCACACTGCTCGCTTATCTCGGGGGACCTGACCTGACCTGCAAGACTGGTCAGGTCGGTCGAGCTAGAAAGAAGTGTAGGCTCAAACCACACGCCAGCACGACAGCTGAGATGCAAACTGCGCCAGGGTTGTCCGAAATGGGATTTCTAAGCACACTAAATGGGTATTACATGGAAAATGTGATTACAAATGCCTTTTCAAAGCATTCAGGTGGTTTGGAGAGCCACGACACAAGCTCTGGGGAGCCTACCTCTGGGAGAGCTCTGGAGGAGAGTAGATCTGCCCGCCCCTGTTGTTTCAGGGCAGCGAGGTTGTGCAAGTTTCTCAGTAGGTGATAGCGAGGCAGCGAGGTAGGACCCTGTTGTGCAAGTTTCTCAGTAGGTGATTTTTAATTTCTACTGCTGGTGTGATGGTCTGGTGGCACGTTTGAGCAGAGTCACAAGCGTTGGTCTGTTGCATAAGACTCCACAGCTGGAGCTTCATTTTCTTGTCTGGCATTTTCTAATTCTTCCTTCTGAGGAATTGCTCAGGCAGGTGTAAATGTGGAAATAACTCTGGATAATGTCCTGCTCGAAGGCGCTTTTTCCCAGATTTGGACAATGCGGAGCAACTGTGTTAGTCTTCCACCAGGCAGATGGAAACAATCCTCTAGAGCAGAATCCATTGATTGTTCGTTGAAATTCAGACTCTGTTTTTCAGGAAATTCCAGTGGTTTGAATCCATGCTTCCACCGTGCATTGAAATCAGATTTTTCATACCATCAGGCTGTGCAATTGTCTTTATATCGACTGTAGTTTATATTGTCATTTAATACAAAAGGCAAAACTCTTTAACTCGCTTGTGTTGGACTGTAGCTGAAGACAAAGCAGTGGAGCTGAAATGAAGGGCTCAGACCTTACAAAACTCAACACGTGGGCTTAAGGACAACAGATTTTTGGAACTGTATTCCCTTAAGAAGAAGCCTTAACAAAATGCTGGTTCCATAAAAACATTAAAATTCTGATTATTGATTCTGATTATGGCAATTTGCATGTGGCTTTCTCAGCAGGACATCACTGAACACGGGTATGCGGGAACACGGAGTTTAGTGGGGTGGCCTCGTTGAGTGCGAAGACAAAACATCACAGCCCTGGAATATCGTGATGGGACAGCGAACTAAAACCTTATCAGTGACTGAAATGAAAGTGTGGAACAGGCCAAAGCCTCTGAGAAGGATGCGAGAGGCAAAGCATCTCAGAGGTACACTGGGGGGACAGGACTGGCAGCTTTCTCTGGAAGGGGCCAGGTTTAATATGCCCTTTCATGGCTGTGACGGAGTTTGGGGTTATTTCAGCCTGAAATAAAAGCTGTGCTCCTGCAGGGCAATAACAGCGTGGCTTTGTAACTCCCCAGCTTCCAACCACAGACTATAATATTTTGGTTATTTGTGTTAAATATTTATGTTAAAGCTGCCAGCATTTCTGGCTTCTTCGGCACAAGGACTTGTTGGTGTTGGCACTCCAGGGATTCTGCCAGCAGGAGACAGAAGCTCAGGTTTTGCTCCTTCTGGCAGATCACATACAGATTATGCAGATGGCTACAGTGCTGGTTGTACCCTAATGATGTTACACCTCCTGAATGCTGACACTGTGGTAAGGGACAGCTCTCTAGCTTTTTAGCTGCTAATGTATTTCTTCTTTCTGTATTCTAGGGAAGAAACCACGTTAAAATGATGCCGTGTCTGCAGTCTTTGCTGCTGTGCATCTTGCCTGCTGCTTCTGCTGCGCTGTCACGTTGTATTCATATGGGTTAGGGACTTTTGTTTTCAGGGCTTTAACAATCTGTTTATGATAATGAGCAATGAACTGTAACTTCCTCTAGTGAACTCACAGAAGTCTAGAAAAATTTCATTTCTTGGGTTTGCCCAGGGAAATCTAACCTGCAAATTCAAAATACTTTGTAGTCTTCCAGCTCACATTTGTATATGCCAGTTTATAGTCTACTTGCAAGTTGGGTTTTTAAATACGTTAAACGTCTACATTTTAGGAATAAGTACTTGGTTGGAACATTTTTCTCCAGCATTTTTGTTGGTTTTGGCTTCAAGTGAAATTCTCCTTTTTAATATATTGACATCTCCCAGTTGCATTTGGAAGTGCTTTTATGCATCTGTATTCCTGTTCCAATCAAGGCAGCCCCACATAGTTCCCTGCTGACCTTAAAGTAGTGATTCTGCCTGTGGAATGAGGGCAGTTTGACTCCAGAAATCACTGCTTTTACATCAAATGGCTGAAATTGTCCAACGACTTCTTTTTTTCTGAAAAAATAACAGCATAACTTTGGGGTTCGCCCCTTTGGATCTCGCTGTAGACGGTTGGATGGGGCGTATGGATGAGCATGTGTGCGTACGCTGCGTTGGCCAGCAGAGCCGCGGGATTAACAGCGGTCACACGCTTTGAGACGCGTTGTCCATCTGCAGTTACAGCCTGAAACGTGGGTCAGGTCACTCAGGACGAAGCTGACATGCTGAAGACATGAATTATTGGCTGTGCGCAGCCCTCCCCAGCTCCAGGAGAGCCCCGCCAGCCTGACCGCAGCTGCCTTCACGTGTGGCGCGCTGAGCCATGTGGAGGGGCTGCGGGGGCGGCAGGCGGGTGCACGGTCTGGGCTGTGTCCCAGGTGAGGCCTGAAGGAAGACATGGGCTTTCAGGCCTCGGCGCTTCAGTGTGCACGCCTTTGTATCACTTAAGGTTTATTGTAAAAATAACTTCTGTCCCCCGTGGGCTGTTTGCCCCCGTTTGCAGGACCTGAGGAATCCAGCTGTGTTTGAGCTGCTCGGTTCGTGTCGGATCCTGCTCTCTTAATTGAGGTTTTTCTGCTGAGTTTTGCAGCACCCGGCAGCGCCGTACGCAGCGTCACGCGGCTCGTGCGGCCCCACGTCCTTGTGCTGTACTGCTCACGCCTTATTAGTCTTCTGCGAGTGTTCCGCACTGCCTTAGTTTTGGCAAGCTGCTCGGAACACCATTTCCTTCTTTTCATTCTGGTGGAGTCCAATTGTTCTTTGCTTACACTACACCAGCCTTTCCCAGAATTTAGCCTGGAGTTTTTATACACTGGGGAGTTTCCCGTGTGTTTAGATTATAGACCGATTTCCTAGTGGGACTGTGACGGAGCCATGCTCTCAGGTAACGCTGTCAGGCAGCGCTTGGCTCTACAGATGTGATGCGCAGAATCGTTTTGTCTCTCAGCGATACTTTTCAAGCCATCCTCCCAAACAGTTAGGATTGTCCCAAAACTGTGGCTTGTTCTGTTTCTCATTAGGTGTGTGTAGATCAATTGGCGTAAGCAACTTTCTTGTCAGTCATCTCGAGCAGCTGCAGGAAGACTGTGTGATTACTCCACATGTTAATCAGGTGAGCGGGTAAATGTATTTAAAGTACTGGGTTGGGGTTTTTGCTTTGGGTTTTTTGGTTAGTAGTCTCCTCTCCACCCCTGTGCCTGACAGACTCCACCCCAGACCACCTACTCGTACCATTTCTTCACTTTGATTTCTAGGTGCGTGTTAAAAACCAGTCAGGAACGTGACCCCAAGTGAGGGGGGCAGTCCTTCCTCCTCTTTCTTTGTCCCAGGCTACTTTGTTTGTGGCTGGGCTTAAGGCGCAAACAAAGGTCCGCGTGCAGTTTTTGATGTTAGCACAGCTCAGAAATAAAATTCAAGGGGCACTGACTGTTTAGCATGTCCGGAGTGAGCCAGGTTCTGGGGAGCCTGTGCTCAAATACTCCAATTCCTCCGTGCAGTACTGAGAGCCTCGGGTGATTCCACATCGTGCAAGGGTGAACTTTCCCTTTGACCCCCTACTCCATACTCCTGTTTCTAAAGGCCAAACGTTGCAAACAACCACTGTATTGGAGGGAGGACGTTCAGAGTGATGGCGTTACCTTCCCCGGTCACCGTTTGGTGTGCTGGAGCCCTGCTTTCCTGGGGATGGCTGAACCCCGGCCTGCCCACGGGAAGTGGGGAAGGAACTCCCCGCTGTGCTGTGCTCGTGTGCATTCCCACTGAGAAACTGACTGGAGCCCAGACGCAGGGGCTTTACCTGGTGCAGAGAACTCCCGGCAGTGTAAAAAAAAATGTTGTGTACCGCCATCTGTGCTCACGTGTCAGGATTGGAATTCAGTTCAGCTTCTCCCCACGGCGCTAGGACTGTCGTGACACCGGCACAGACTGTTCCCAGTGGCTGAGCGTGCAGCAGGTCAAGCTCCAAAGGACTTTATCCAAGGGATGCCAGCTTTTTACACACAAATCACTTGGGTAGTGCTAGGGACGATCAGGATCCTCCTCTACCACCATGTGATGGACAGCCCTCGCCTGAGCAGCGTGTGGTAACTGAAATAGCAAGGGTGGGGCGAGCCAGGAAGTGGGAATTATTATTTTGAGGGGAAGCACATGTGGCCACTCACCCTGTGCCTCTTGCAGCTCAGGACGCTGGGCCCTCGCACTCTGCTAGAGCCTTCCAGAAAGGTTTCACTGGAAAAATGCATTCACAAGTGCTGCTTTTATTTTCTGCATTTGATTATTTTAGTAGTCTTTTTAAGAAGAAAAACACTCACTACTCCCAGCACACGTCTGCGTGTGCCAAAATTCGATTCGCTGAAGGTGGGAGCCGCGATCCGGGAACAGCACGGGTATAAGGGTCCTGGGTGGGGGCTGGCGGTAGCTGCATGTGCTGCTGGGGACGTCTCGCCGTGCTGGTCTGCTTTAAATGTTTCTGGTGTAACTGCTGCCTGCAACTCTTCTTAGACCAGCAGGTGAGTTCTGCTTGCAGCTACGTTGGTGATAAAGTAAGTACCCGATGCCACCAGGGTACTGCAGACTTTTCAGCATCTCACCCCAAATACACCCTCTCTACTTAATGTTTTCTAGGCGGTGTTATTAGTTACACTTAGTGTAAAGAACATCTACTAACACTGCTCGTTACTGTGCTCATAATTCAGCCAGCCACCCTGCTTGCTCCTCCTCGTTCCCCTCCTAGTTCTGCGTTAAAACAATGAGACTAATTTCTAGTCAGCCCAGGTGCGAACAAGTGGGTTTGACCTAAACATTGGCCATACACGTAAAAACATGGACTGCGAAGGCTACTCAAAGGTCAGGAGACATCAAAGGTTGAAGACATGGATGTGCCTGCTGCGTGAACCCTGTTCCCGCGTCCCCCTAGTAATTGAGGCGTGAGCCGCTCGGGCTGACTCAGCCCAGCCTGCCGAGGCACAGTCCTTTCGGAGCGCGGCCAGCCCATTGTTCCCGATCATTGTTGTCTGGGAAGACAACATGTACTAAAGATGAGAAACAGGAAATGTGCATTTGTCCTCTCTGTGGCAGAAGAAATTTTCCAGATTCCATGTGCTGAGGTAATTGTTCGGAGTATTTTTCCTCAGAACGCGCAAGAGTTAGATCACTGGGACGGTGGGAAACACATCACGGGTTGCGCGTGGTGTTAACCGCTGCCCATTTCCATCTGAGGGCAGGGGAAGGTACGCTGCTTACGCCGTGTAAACTGGGATGTACTGAGGTAGCATAGTGAGGAACACCCCAGAGCTGCCCTTGGCGTCTGCTGCCTGCCAGGATATGTGGCTCTTCCAGATCCTGGCTTTCCAGTAACGTCTGTTTCCTCTTGCTTCCAACTGTGTCTTTGCAGCTTGTTACTTTTTCTCTTTTAACTGGGTCTTGGCAGTTTGTGATCTTCCTTCCTACAAAGGGTGTCCCTCACCCCTCATCCCGCAGCGCAATGGCTCCCCTGCACCGCCCCCAGGACGCAGCTACAACCCAGGGCAGCAGGCTCTGCTTCCGAGCTCAGGCCCTCCTCCAAAGCAAGTTGTCTGTTGGTCTCTGGCAAACCGGTCCCTGCCTGCCCCCTCCCCTTGCCTGTGCAGCTCAGGGATCCTGAGCAAAAAGCGGGAAGAGGACTGGGGAAGAGAAGGTCGTCCCTGCTCCTCAGTAAAGGTGACCTGAGGCTGGTGCGTTGGCCTCTATTTCTCCAGCTCGGAGCAGAGCAAGAGTGCGAGTCCAGCTGCGGGCCAGGCAGACAGCTGCTCCGCGCACCTTACTTCTGGGGGAAGCGTGGAATACGTAGTAAACCATTGTGCCAATTCATGGCAAAATGCCTGTGCGTTGGTCTCCTTCACGTGCCTTACGGGACCGGTAACCTCCATCTCTCCCACAGACAGTGACTGCGCTCATCTTCTGTTTTTAACACGAGAGAGAAAATATTCTCATGTACCAACGATGGTTTTTACTAAAAGTACGCCCAAGGCTTTTACTGAAGTTGATTTCTCTTTATCCAAGGTGGAATACCACCCTTTCCAAAGACCTCAGGAGCTGGTCGATTATTGCAGGAGCCGAGGTATCGTTTTTGAAGGCTACTGTCCCTTAGCCAAAGGTGAAGCGCTCGCGCATCCCAGTGTCCTTCAGCTGGCAAAGAAGTACGGCAGGACTCCGGCGCAGATCTGCATACGCTGGAGTATCCAGGTGACGGGGGAGGTGACACCGCGTCCCTGCTTGGGAGCAAAGTGCGACCGGCTGGGGTTTGTGCATCCAACCAGAATTCGCACAAGGGGGGTTGCCCTCGGTGCGGTGATGCGTGAGCTCACCGTGCCGTACCGGACGCTTGGGCTGTAGCACACTGAGCGTGGCAGGTTTGTAAATGAGCAGTCTGGCTGTAGAGAACACAAACAGCTGCCGGTAAGAGATGTTCCCAGACTGTTACAAGCGGTGGGGGCATCATTCCGTTGCTGTCACTCAGCATGCGGCTCTGCCGGTGGAATGCTGCAGCAGGACATAAACCACATCGTCTGTGTTGGAACTTGGTGCAGTGTGTGTCACAGCAGTTAGAACAGCGTATCAAAAAGTGCATGTTCTCTGAAAAATGAACCTGGAATGTCTTGAAGTGTTCTGGAAAGGTGTTATTGTCTTTGAAACTCTGTGAAGTTCAGTGATGAGAAACATTATGTGTTTCAGAATGGGATCGTCACTATTCCAAAGTCCACAAAAGCAGAAAGGATACAGGAAAACTGCAAGGTAAGATTCGGTTGTGCACTCAGCCCTGACTGACAGCCGAACTGCTGATTTCAGTGCTTGGGTTTGCCTGACCGTTTTCCTACACCAGTTTTGCCCTGCGGCAGGATCCTGACCCTTGTTTTTAATTTCCTTTTCATACCAAATGTTTTTAATTCACTATTTCATTTTTATCTCCATTTCTCTAATCTCACAGTGTGCTTTCTTGGGGGGAGGGGAGGGGAAACCACAACCACCTTATTGTTGCCTCCAAAAATATCGTAGGGGTATGAACTGTTTGGCAGATCAGGAAGAAACTTTGTAAAAGGATAGGAAACGCCTGTCTGCCAGTTAAATCAGAGTGTGTAGGTGTAAATCACCGCACGCGGGGGGATTTCTAGTGGCTGTGCCTGTGCGTACAGCTCCTGCCGGGACAACCTTGCCTGGTGCCAGCACAGCTGTTTGTGGTACTGCCTTGCGAACCAGCTCCGAGAGCAAGGCCAGGCTCAGAACCCTTCCTTCTTCTTTTTATTGTACTCTCCCCGGTGGTGTTTTCATTCCAGATTAACTCTGGTGTTTACACTTCGCGCTGTGGCCCCACCAGTTCATTTTGCAGAAGTGAGGGAATGCGTTGCAGCCAAACTTAGAACCCTTCGGCTGGAGAAGGGGCAGAGCTGGCACAGCGACCAGATGTTGTTTATCACAGCCCTTGCCTGAGGCCAGAGGGCTGCAAACCCCGGTCACAGGGGCTCCAGATAAAAATGAGTCGCCAAAGGCGCAAAGCTGGAGCCTGTCAGCTTTGTGGGAAATTGGCCTGTGACAGCATATAGGAGAGATTTCCAGAAGGAAAAAGAGAGACAAATTCTGCCTCACATTAAATGAGTCTTGTTCAGTTTAACTAACACACATCCCTGTCTCTCTCCCCATTCGGGATGTTGACTGTATGTGCGTTCCCCTAGGTGTTTGATTTTACGATAGCGGCAGATGACGTTGCAGTCCTGGACGGAATGCATGACGGGAGACACGTTTCCTGGGACCCAAGCCTTGTTGTGTGAACGCAGGTTTGAGCTTTCCCTTAGCCAGTCGTCAGCGAGCCACGCCACATCATTTGTGTTCAGGGAAGGCTGCAGTACGAGCGGAATCGCAAGAGTAACGCCTGCTATTCATGCTAACTGACGTGAAACCCTTAACACTACTAACGCCAAGAGAGATGTCACATTCCTCTCTCCAGTCCCGATCCATAGCTCAGTGCAGCTCATGCAAAGCTTCCTAGCGATGGTACCGACCCTGCATCCAGCCTTCCAGTCAAAGAGCGTGAGGATGTATCCCTTTAACAATGTAAGAACATGTGCTGCCTGCTAGTGTAGGACACGGGTGTTAGGTACAAAATAATCTTTCAGAGACTTTGTTAGAGGGATACAGTGTATGAAGAAGAAAAAGCTGGGTGAAAAAAATGTTAATACCACTATTACGGGATTTATACTGTACAGTGTACTGCAAATCTCCATCAAAAATGTCATCTCGCTGTAATAAGCAACATCTGAGCATCACCAACAGCTTTGGTGCACATTACTGTGTAATAGTGGCATTGACCCAGAGAATTCTCTGGATACTCCTTACTGGCCTGTGGGTGTAACAAAGTCGAAACCTTTCCAAAAAGTCCAGATAAGCCTCCTGCATGGCTGAGAGGTGAGCAGCAGGCTCTGAGAGCCAGAGGGCCTCGCCGTTACTACTGATCTTTGCCTTAGTGTAAACTCTGGGGAGTTTTGTGTAGCTTCTAGGAGAATTAGTTTAGCTTTCATTTGGATTTGTCCGGGAAACCACATCAGGAGACTGTGCTGCTCCTCAGCTCCTCTGACGCAACGCGTGTGCGTACAGAGGTGGATGTAGGTACATGGAGTTTGCAGATCTGTTTTGAGAATACGTCTGCAGACTCCTGTCGGCTGAGTATTCAACTTGTAGTCACGTTGGTTTGATATTTTAGGAGTTCCTGTGTCTAGAAAGGTATGGAAAATCTGCCTGTGATTTATATTGTGTGTGCACTTCCTGAGGCAGCTTTCCCAGTGCTGCGCTGCTTTAGTCATATCGCGGAACAAAGCTCCGGAGTCCTTTATCAAGAAGCGGCTTACGGCGAGGGTATATTCCAGCCTGCATTGTTCGCCCGCCCAGTACGGCTTCCACACAGCTCGGCTGAACAACAGGCCGACTTACCTTTGTGCTAACAGCCCCTCGGACCAACTGGCTGGGCTTCCTGGTAAACACTTCCACAAAAAATTGTCAAGAGTTGCCTCTGGAATCCTTCACATATTGTTTGGTATTTTGAAACGGGAGCTGTCGCAGGGAAGGCTGTGCTCACCCGTACAGCATGCTGTTCCACGGTACGCCATCCCAGAGTAAGGGTCTCTTCCAGCGTTTCAGATGTGGGCTGCAGTGTCTGGGAATGCCACTCTGGGAATCTGAACAGCTATGGACCTGCCGTACCTGTTGTGAGGAGAGGTACAGCAGTTCCAAAATAAGGCTTATGTATCAGATTCCGGTAATTTTTAGGCTTTTTTTAGCTATGGCAGAAAATGATGGCAACGGCCAAGTGAAAATCAGAAAGGTTGCCCAGAAACACACCTTTCTGCCAGCTAATCCTGCTTCACGGAACAGTACCTTAGGGCTGTGGGAAGGGCGTTCCTGGGCTGTTGAGGGCCTCCTCGCTTTGCGGTGTGTCTGAGCTCATGAAACGGGGATGCCAAGTGCGCGATGTGCCCGCGCTCCCTCGGCGTGGCTTCTGGGCAGCGGGGCCTGCCTTAGGAAGCACAGAGGAGAAGTTGGAGTTCTACCCTGGTTCTCCCTAAACAAACAGGCATCACATCGGCGTGCTGTTGCCGACACAAGCTGCGCGCACAGAGTGGACCAGACCTTTAGTTGAGCTAGTACATCCTGGCTGCGCTGTTACCGAACAGGGTCCGTTCAGACTCGCGACGGTGCGGCCAGAAGCCCTGTGGTGGTCAGACGGCTCTGATTTTCATTTCTGACTGATCCCTGCCCTGTTCTCAGCCAAACAGAACCGAACCAGATCTCCTTGCCAATGCCCCCACAGAAGGCTTCAGGCCTCAGTGACGACGGTGTCTGAATTCACGGACGTAGGAGATTTTACAGTGGGTTTTGTGACTGCATCTGCTAGGAAATGGAGCCACCGTTTTCTTGAATCCAGATGATGGTATCTGAGCAGTGCAGAGTATTGAAAGGAATAATCAGAGAGGAATAGTATTCCTGAAAAGCATCCTTCTTAGGGAGTGTTGTGGCAAGTTACAGCTTTAATCAGATACTGTCCTACCTTCAGACTTACTTCGTGTTGGTTCAGGGCTTTTTTCTGGTTTGGTTTTGGTTTTTCCTCTTTCCTGGCAATTCCTTTGCTACCAGGTCATGGCTTTAGAACGGTGGAAGGGTTTCATTCTAACTGCATAGGAAGTGGAGTGGAATTGCAGGCCAGATAAGGTTTCTGAGTGTCATGGCTCGGCGGAGCCGTTCTCCTGGGCGTGGGGCGCAGTTTGGCACATGCTGCCACCACCACCGGCTGTAGTTTTCTGCCAGAGGCTGGCAGCCTGTCCTCTGCCGTGCGCTTGGGCTGCGCCACTGGAGCCTGCCCTAGGAACACGGCATTCGCTGGTCAAATCTTCTCTTGCTTCTCATCAGGTGGCAGAGGGAAAGACAGGCTCAGGGGATTCATCTTTTTGCTCCTTGCTACACCTAAAATGACATTACGGACGTGGCAGTTTTCTTTCTAAGCCAAAGGTGATGAGGGTAGCTCTGCATCACCTCATCTAAGTGAATGTTTCTGTAGGACCACAGTGTAAAGAAATAAGCCAGCTAGTCAGGAATGGGAAAGTGAAGCACGGTGGGATTTCAGGGTGGCAGTGAGGGGTGATGTTCTGTAATAGAAGCAGAACCTAGGAGACCAAAAGGATGTAAAAGTTCTGAGCGTGCAAAATCAGAAGTTTAACTCCAGTTTTCCTTTCTTCTTCGCTCAGTCAGCCGGCGGGTGCTCACTCTGTAAACTCAAGAGTCCATCCCTCCAGTGAATTCCTAGGATTACGCACATATTCCTCCCTGGGGCTGAAATTCCTCCTGTTGTCCGTAGTTCTGTAAGCCGAGCTGTCTCTAGAGAGACCTTTTCCACCTTCCTACAGCAGCTGTTTGTAGGATCCAGCTCTATCAGTGCAACCCGTCACCCTGCCAACAGGGCGCGGGGCACCCCGGCCACCGAAGGCCCGTGTACGGTGGTGGCTGGCTGGGCACTCCCATCTCGCAGAGATAACCAGGATTTAGAGTAAGATACAATCTCCGTGTTATCTCCCCAAGCGCAGTCAGCTGCCTCTGCGGGAGCACGGAGACTTGTCAGGGAAGGAAAGGAAAGCCAGTGGGAATGGTGAGGCCATTCCCGGTGCAGCCAGGTAGCTTCCTGCCTGACGCACGGTGCCTCCCTCTCGCCTGTTCCTGCATTTCGTCTTTGATGTGACGGGGCACGAAGGCACCAGCAGCGTTGGAAAGTTGAAAAATAACAGGAATGGTTTTGTAAAGAACATACTTGAGGAAATGTTTGGGTTTAATCGGGCTGCAGGAGTGTTTGTACTGACGGGCCCCGCAGCGTGGCTTCCGAGACGCTGCCGTTCTGCCTGGCACGTGGAACACTCATAAGCTCGCTGGTAACTCCACGAAGTCATGCCGACTGGGCCCCTCTGCTCGCACTGTGGTTAACACCAGCTGGTTCTCTGTTCAGAACCGCAGTGCCGGCTGTTCTGGCAGGAAGGCTGGCCTTAGCCCGGGTTTCTGACAGCGGCGACGAAGGTGGAGTCGCTCTTGCAGGCACTGATGGCATCCAAGCACCTAACTCCTGCTCCGACGCGGGTCTCTGCGGTGCCCTGGGGGGAAGTACCGGACAAGCCAACCCCCGACCGTGTTCTGCGCTGGGGGTTGTCGTGGTTTAGCCAGCACAGGAGCCTGTCCCTGTCCCCAACCTTTTGGCCCTTCCTGCAGCCCCCTCAGGAGCACTCGGAATGTCTGTCACCTGCTAAGTCGCTGGGGATTTTTCCATTTAATTATCGACATCAAGAGCTTAAACCAGCCCACCTCAATCATGCAGTGGTAATGCTGAACACGTGTGGGCTTTAGTCTTTGCTGTGCCCTCACCACTTCTTTTTTTCCAAACCAGGTTCTTGATTTCAGTCTGAGGGAAGAAGATGTGGAATTTGAAGGCTGTGAATATCAATGGGAAGTTAATTCACTTACTCCATCCACTGTGGAAAGGGTAATTTAGACCAGATTGTTCTCTGCTGCTGAGGGATGCAACTCACAAGTTCATTTTGAACGGACCGAGAAACCTGGGTTGTGTTCGTGGCTGCTGGGAAGGTACCTGCTGCGTGCTGGTCAGTAACGGGAGGTCGGTGTCAGTGGCTTCTAGGGACTGTTACGTTCACAAATCAATAAAATCGTGTGGTTTACCCTCTGCCTGCCTGCTTTCTCACAGACATAGAAGTGCTTGCTTGAGCTTTTGCTCTGCTTCCTGGGGACTTCGGCATGTTCTCCCAGCGCAGGTTGAGCAAGCCCACAAATAAGTGTCTTCTGCCTGAGTGTACTTCAGTTACGGTGTCGGTTTAGCCCATTTGAACGAATTAGGGGGTTTTTTGTCCTTACAGGTTTTGAAAAGTATTAGTTACCTGAAGGCAAAGACAAGAGCACTCTACAATGCATGTAAGTCTTGGGAAGGTACTCAAAATACGGAATACTTGTTCCAGGACTGCAGCAGACATCGGAATCCGACTCTTTATGCTGTTTTTTGCATTTCTTCTGGTGATGAGAATCTGGGGGATTCTGCAGGCTGTTCTTGGTACTTCCATGGTGAGCAAACCCCTTCCGCTGGTGGTGTTCCCAGGATCTCCCAGCCCGACCCAGCACGCTGCAGAGGAATGGGAATGGCTCTGGGCTGTGGCCTAAGTTGCGTCAGAATGAGCACAAGCGCTTTCTGCTTATCTCGCCAGGGATGTTTTGAGGGTGCTGAAAAGTAATG